GAAACTTTACTGAATTCATTTATTAGTTCTAGTAGCTTTTTAGATGTGTCTTTAGCATTTTATAGGTATACAATCATATCATAAGTAAATAGCAACAGTTTGACTTCCTCTTTACCAATTTCAATGCCCTTTATTTTTTTCTCTTGTCTGATTGCTCTGGCTAGGACTTCCAGTTCTATGTTGAATAAATGTGAAGAAAGTGGGCATCCCTGCCTTGTTCCCGTTCTCAGGGGGAATACTTTCAACTTTTCCTTGTTCAGTATAGTGTTGGCTGTGGATTTGTCATAGATGGCTTTAATTACCTTAAGGTATCCCTTGTATGCCAGTTTTGCTGAGGATTTTATCATACATGGATACTGGATTTTTTTTAAATGCTTTTTCTTAATCAATTAAGATCATCATGTAAATTTTGTTTTTAATTCTGTTTATGTGGTATATCACATTTATTAACTTACATATGTTAAACCATCCCTGCATTCCTCATATAAAACCCACTTGATCATGGTGAATTATCCTTTTGATATGCCGTTGAATCCAGTTAACCAGTATTTTGTTGAGTAAAGTGGACTCTGTGAGGGTTCTTGGTTGTAGTTTTGTTGTTCTTGTTGTTTGTGCCAGTTGCTTTATTTCTGCTTCTTGTATTTCTTTGCAATAGCAGTTTTCGTTTCACAACAAAATTAAAAGGTACAAAGTTTTTATCCAACTCTAGGCATGTATAGCTTCTGAGGCTACCAACATTCCTCACTAAATTGATACATTTGCTACAATTGATGAACCTACATTGGCACATTATAGACACCCCAAGTCAATAGTTTACAGTAGGGCTCACACTTGATATACATTTTATAGATTTAAGAATGTATGATGTTTTAAAATTGATGTAATCGTGATTATAGTATCGCATAGAATAGATTCACTGCTCTAAAACTCTTTGGTGGTTTACCTATTCATTTCCCCCTCCCCTAAATTACTGTAAACCACTAATATTTTTACTGTCTCCTTATTTTTATTGAATATGATAGAATTATACAGTATGAAGCCTTTCAGATTGGCTTTTGTAGTTTGTAATATACAATTATGGTGCCTTCATGTTTTTCATGTCTTGAGTTTTTTTTGTTGTTGTTTTTTTGTGGTTTTTTTTTTTTTAGTGCTTAGTAATGTTTTCTTATCAGGATATACCAGTTTACATATTAATTTACCTACTGAGTGGCACCTTCATTGTTTCCAAATTTTGGAAATTATAAATAAAACTGCTCTAAATGCCTGTGTGCATGTTATTATGTGATCATAATATTTTATCTCCTTTGGGTAAATACCAAGGAGCTCAACTGCTGGATTATATAGTAAGAGTGTGTTTAGTTTTGTAAAACAAAATAACAAAAAACAAAAGAGAAAATGCTTCTCTAAAGTAACTATATATCATTTTACATTTCCATCAGCAATGAGAGTTCCTGTTGCTCTACATTCCTAGTGTTAGTGTTCCAAATAATGGTCATTCTAATATATATGTCATATTATTTTATTGTTTTGATTTGTGCATTGTTTATGACATATCAGTGGAGCATCTTTCATATGATTATTGAGCATCTATATATTTTCTTTGTTGTTATATGTGTTCAGGTCTTGTTTTATTTTTTTAATTGGGTAGATTCTTTAGTGTTGAATTTCATGGCTTCTTTGTATATATTAGATAATATTTCTTTATCAGATATGTCCTTTTCAAATATTTTCTTTCAGTCAGAGGCTTGTCTTCTCATTCCCTTAACATTGGCTTTTGCAAAGGAGAAGTTTTTTGATTTGAAAAAAATCTTCCCTTTAATTATTTATTTTCTCAATCATGCCTCTTGACTTGTATCTAATAAGCTATCAGCATACCCAAGGTCAAGGAAGTTTTCTCCCATGTTGTCTTCTAAAATTCTAATAGTTTTGCATTTTATATTTAGTTCTATAATCCATCTTAAGGTAATTTTGTTAAAGGTATCAGGTCAATGTCTAGATTATATTTTTTTCTTTTGCATGAGAATATCCAGGTAATTCAGCATTATTTATGGAAAAGACTATTTTTGCCCTATTGTGTTGTCTTGGCCACTTTGCCAAAGTTGGGTTGACTAAATATTATGTAGATATACTTCTGGGCTTTCTATTCTTTTCTATATTTCTATTTGTCTATTATATTGTCAATACCATATTTTCTTTTTGTGGTAGCTTTATAGTATGTCTCTAAGTCAGGTAGTATCAGTCCTCCAAAGTTGTTATTTCTCTGCAATATTGTGTTTGCTATGCTAGATCTTTTTCCTCTTCAAATGAACTTTGCAATCGTTTTGTCAATATCCACAAAACAACCTGATGAGATTTTGATTGGTATTGCATTTAGTTTCTAGATCAAATTAAGAAGAACTGACATGTTGACAATATGGAGTCTTTCTATCCATGGTTTCAGACTGTATTAGTTCATTCTCACACTACTGTAAAGAACTAGACAAGACTGGATAATTTAGAATGAAAGGAGGTTTAATTTACTCATAGTTCCACATAGCTTGGGAGACCTCCCAAAACTTATAATCATGGTGGAAAAGGAAACAATCACATCTTACATGGCGGCAGGCGAGAGACAGAGTGCACTTAGGAGGAACTATCAAACACACAAAACCATCAGATTTCATGAGAACTCAGTGTCATAAGAATAGCATGGTGAAAACCACCCCTATGATCAAATCACCTGACCCCATATCCCTCCCTTAGTGCCCGTGGATTACAATTTTAGTTGAGATTTATGTGGGGATATGGAGCCAAACAATATCACAGACTACCTCTCTTTTTATTTAGTTCTTCTTTAATTCAATTCAAGAGTTTTGTAGTTTTCATTATATAAATTTTGTCCATATTTTATTAGATTTTTTCCTAAGTATTTTAGTTTTTTGTGTACTAATATAAACAACACTGTGTGTTTCATTGTAAATTCTACTTGTTCATTACTGTATATACAAAACTGACTTCCTTTTGTATATTAACCTTAGATCTTGTAACATCTATAGTTGTTTACTAGTTATATTGTTTACTATAATTGTTTCTTTTTTGTTAAACCTTTCAGGTGTTCTACATAGATGTTCATGTAATCTGTGAACAAGGAATTCCTTCTATATTTATAAATCTTACTGTATTTTATTGTCATTGCATTAACTAGTACTTCCAGTATAATGCTAAAAAGGAGTGGTGAGAGAGGACATCTTTCCCTTGTTTCTGATCTTACTGAAAAAGCTTTAAGTTTCTCACCATTAAGTATAGTGCTAGCTATAGAGATTTTTTTGTATATATTCTTTATCAGTTTGTGGGATGTTCTCCACTCTTTTTTCTTTACTGAGAATTTTTAGCATTCATGAAGCAAAAATAGTCTTTTTCAGTTTTGCCAAACATTTTTTTCTGCATCTGTAGTAAATTTTTAAACAATTTTCAATATTTTTTAACTTAAAAAATTATCTTGTGGATGTAATATATTTTATTAATTGATTTAAAAATGTTGAAGCAACTTCACATGCCTGGAATAAATCATACTTGCTTATGTCATATAATTCTTTATATACATTGTTAGATTTGATTTGTAAAAGATATTGGTCTGCAGTTTTTGTTTCTTGTTATCTCTTTGTCTGGTTTTGGTATTAAGAAAATGCTGTCCTGATAGACTCAGTTAAGAAGTATTAACTCTCTTTCTTTTACTGAAATCAATTCTAGAGAATTGTTACAATTTCTTCCTTAGATGTCCAGTAAAACTCACCAGTGAATTCATCTGGGCCTGCTACTTTCTGTTTTGTTAAATCAGTAATTATTAATTCAACATTTTAATAGATAAAAACACACTTTTAAATTGAGTTGTTTGTTTCAGATTTTCTATTTTTTCTTGTATGAGTTTAGGCTCATTATCTTTCAAGGAATTTATCTCTTTCTTGTAGGTTATATGTAGATATAAAGTTATTATACTTTTAATATATAGGATTGCAGTGATATTCCCTCTTTTGGTTCTGATAGTAATAATTTGTGTCCTTTATTTTAGTTAGACTGGGTCAAGACTTATCAATTATGCTAACTTTTTCAAAAACCACCTTTTAGTTTTATTAATTTTCTCTGTTGATTTTCTGTTTTTAATTATATTTCTGCTCTAATTCTAATTGTCTTTTCTTCTCCTTGCTTTGAATTTAATTTGTCATATTTTTCTAGTTTCCTAAGTTGGAAACTTAGATATTTCATTTTAGATCTTTCTTCTTTTCTAACATATGGATTAAATGCTAAAATTTTCCAATGCAAAACCACTTTGGTACATTCCACAGTCCTCATAAATTGTATTTTTATTTTCATTTGGCACAAAATATTTTAAATTATCTTGAGATTTATTCTGTGGCCAATATTGTCTTGTTTCACCTCTACATATTTTGGAGTTTTCCAGTTATCTCTCTGCAATTAATATCTAGTTTAATTCTACTGTGGTCTAAGAACATACTTTGTATAATTTCTATTACTTCTAATTCATTAAGGCATATATTATATGCTGTAATGTGATCACTACTGGTGAATTTTACATATGAGCTTGAGAAGAATGTGTATTTTGCTACTATTGGATGAAGTACACTATAGATGCTAATTATATTTGGTTGATTAATGTTGAGTTCAATATGTATTTAATTGCTGATCTTCCAGTCTGTTCAGCTTTTTAATTTTTAGACAGAGTGATAACTTCTGAGATCCTTATATGCAACACCAGAAACTGGAAGTTTGAGTGTACTGCTTTTAAGAGAATTTCAGGCTGTGTTCCAACATCACAGTTTACATTCATTAAAATACCATTTAAAAATGATCAATTTATTTATTTCTAAATTAATTTGTGTATAAGATTTAAATAACCTTATGTAGAAATAACCCAATTAAATAAATTATTGTCCTTCAAGGTAATATTCATCAAACTTCATGACATTATATTAAAATTTAGCAAGCAGTCTTATATATGTCTGTATGTATATAAAACTAGCTCAAACTCATGATATACTCTACTATATATTATAATATTTAAAAGATAGAAAAAACTATGAAAAAAATCAATGACACAACATTTTTCCTGATATTAAAAATATTAGCAACATGCAGCAAAACAATTAGCGAAAACAGTAGCAAACACATATAGTCACTGCAGCGTACATATACAGGCATACCTGGTCTTATTACACTTTGCTTTATTACTCTTCATAGATCTTGTGGTTTTTACAAATAAAAGGTTTGTGGCAACCATGTACTCAACAAGTCTATTGGTATCATTTTCCCAATAGCATGTGCTCACTTTCTGTCTCTGGGTCACATATTGGTGATTCTCATAATATTTCAAACATTTTCTTTATTACTATATATGGTATAGTGATCTGTGATTAATGATCTCTCATGTTACTAATTATTTTGAGGTGCCATGAACAACACCCATATAAAATGGCAAACTTAATTGACAAATATACATGTTCTGACTGCTTCATTGATTGAAATTTCCCTCATCTCTCTTTTTCTCAGGCATCCCTTTTTCCTGATACACAAAAATATTCTTATTAATTAATATTATTATTAGGCCAATTAATAATCCTACAATGGCCTGTAAGTATTAAAGTAAAAGGAAGATTCACAAATACTTCACTTTAAACAATAAGCCAGAAATAATTAAGCTTAGTGAAGAAGGTATGTACAAAGCCAAGATGGGCTGAGATCTAGGCCTCATTTACCAAGCAGTCAAGTTGAGAATACAAAGGAGAAGTCATTGAAGGAAATTAAAAGTGCTATTCCAGTGAATACATAAATAATAAAAAAGGGAAACAACTTTTTCACTGATAGGAAGAAAGATACAGAAAAGGCCCTAACAAAGCAAAAACAAATTTTTCAACAGAGACAAAATACTGTCTATTGGAATAAGATGGCTTCTAGATCTTTCATAGCTAGAGAGAAGTGAATGACTGGCTTCAAAACTTAAAAGAACAGGCTATCTCTCCTATTAGGGACTGATACAGCTGATGACTTTCTGTTGAAACCTCATGTGGTAGTTCAGTCAGGGTGGTAGCAAAAATATTAAGGGAAAAAATACTAGAGAAAGTTGTGAAAAATAGTCACAGACCTTCTTGGAAGGCTGGAAGATTTTGTAAAAGCCTCAACATAAAATTACAGCTGAAGGCAGCCTAATCCCCTTTAACTTTAGTTGATAAAGAAAAGCAAATAACAAACGAATGTAAAGGAGTTTATTTAAATAGCTTATTTATTCATGTGGTCCTAAAACTAACCTTTAATTTTTCACAGACCAGATGGCTTTGTCGGGGGGAAGTGACCAGATTTATCTTCCACAAATAGTTACCCGCAAATAGTGTTTTCTTTAGGCCTCGGAACATAGTGTTTAATCTTTATCATCTAGTAGTGTTGACTCAAAGCTTTTGTCATTTAATGTACACTGAATAAAGGCTGGCTAGTCCAAAACATCAAGGCTGGCAGCTGTTAAGTCTTTACAGCACTCTCCTCAAGTGTCTGTGATTAGCCCCAGACACCCCTAACCAGCTCTCTCACTGTATTCTGTGTCTGAGTGAATTTATTCATCTGTCATGGGATCAGGGTCTGCCTGTCAGACCCTGACAACCTCACTGAGGTTGAGGTGAGTTTAATGAGCTTAAGTTGAAGCTCATTGACCATTATGAAAATCCTAGAGCCTTTAAGAATTATGCTAAATCGACTCTGCCTATGCTCTGTAAATGGAACAACAAGGTCTAGATGGCCACCCAACTGTGTACAGCATGGTTTCTTGAATAATTTCTGCCCACTGTTTGTACAAACTGCTAAAAAAAATGATTCCTTTCAGAATATTACTGCACATTGAAATTCATCTGGTTACCCAAGGGCTCTGATGGAAGTGTACAGTAGATTAAACTTGTTTTCATGCCTACTAATACAACATCCATTCTGCAACCCATGGATCAAGGTATAAGTTTGACATTCAAGTTTTATTATTTAAGATGTGCATTTTGTAAGGCAATAGCTGGCATTGATAGTGATTCCTCTGGATTCATCATTCTAGGTGCTAGAACATTTGTGATTCATCAGAGAAGGCTGAAATATGAACACTGAGAAGAACTTGAAAAAAGTTTATTCTATCCCTCATGGCTGACTTTGATGCATTCAGGCCTTCAGTGAGAAAAGTAACTGCAGATGTGGTGGTAATACTAAGATAACTATAATAATGGAGCCTGAAGCTATAACTAAATTACAGAAATCCTGTGAAATACCTGACTGGATGAGTAGTTACTTCCTATGGGTCAGCAGAGAAAGTGGTTTCTTGAGAGGGAAACTATTCTTTATGAAGATGCTGTCAACATAGCTGAAATAACAACACAGGGTTTTTAATATTACATAAGCTTAGTTGATAAAGCAATGGCGGGGTTTGAGAGGATTGACTCCAATTGTAAAAGAAACTATTGGAGATAAAAAGGCATCACCTACTTCAGAGAAATCACCCATGAAAGAGTTCATCAATGCTGAAAACTCCATTGTTGTCTTATTTTAAGAAATTGCCACAGCCATCTCAATCTTCAACGACCATCACCCTGATTAGTCAGCAGCCATCAACGTCACAGCAAGACTCTTCACCAGCAAAAGGATTATGATTTGCTGAAGGCTCAAATTATCATTAGTATATTTTACCAATAAAGTGTTTTTAAATTAAGGTATGTACATCATTTATTTGGACAATGCTGTGGCAGACTTAATAGACTACAGCATAAACAAAACATTTTTCTGCTCTAGGAAACACACAAAAAATGTGTGACTCATTTTATTTTGATATTAACTTTATTATGGTCATCTGGAAACCAACCTGGACTATCTCTGAGGTATGCCTCTTACAATAATAACATATTTAGTGACAATAATATCATTGAACATAACAAAACCAATTAAATAATTATATTTCTCTGTTACATGACTTACTAAACATAATAGTAGTATATATATCAGCTCTGCTATTCCCTTGCTATTTTCCTGTTATTTTATATATAGTATCTTCGATGCATGGTTACATTGTAGCAACCATCTAAATATACTTTTGTGTTTTGTAAGAGTTTCTTTAATTAAAACAAGATATTATAACTGGTTACTCCAATCAAAAAGGCAAATTAATTTGACTGATTTTACAATATAATATAGGGGAAAAAATGCCTTTGTGATCTCTTCTGTCTCATCTAGCTATAATTCTGCCCTCAGTGTGCTGAGAGAATCAGGTGCTACATATTACCAACTGACAGAACCAGTGAGAATATTAATCTTAATTAGTATAGAATATATTAGTAAAGACTAGTTCCTTATTGTTTGCGTAAAGATAAATAAGTCCTCATTTTTTCATGTCTCAATAGATTATCTTGATGACATAGCACTTTGGGGTCACTTTTTCTTACATTTATTACCCATTTAAGATTCCCTAAAGACTTATATTTCATTTGATTATTAATTAAAGATGCTTTGCATTATTTCAAAATACATGATTCTCAACAATCACATACTGAATTAAGATTAACGTCACAATTTTACAATTGAGAAAATTGAGCATCAGACTGGTTAAATTATTTGCTGACATCCCTCAGCTAATAAATACTGAGTGAGCTTGATTACATATATACTGCAATGTTTTATTGCATGTATTTTAGTAGGAGGTTTGCTCTGTTGGAGACAAAATTCATGGTTTAATTAATTGAAATTTTCACTTTTAAAGAGGTTATTTTTATTTCCTGAAGTCACATTGGTAATACCAAGTATTCAGCCCATGTAATATATTAAAATGTTAAGTACATTAATCATAGGTGTGACTTTGAACACTATGGCTCTTCTGGGTACTGTTCAGGGGGAAATCAAGTGTAATATTTTCCAGTGATTCAGTCTGACATTAATAATGTGGATTATGTGTCATGTTTCATCTGTGCTAAATAAAGACTGGCGAAACATTGACTTTAGCTCTTAGCAAAGGATACAGAAGGAATGGTTAAATGTTATTTAAGTAATTATAAGGGAAAATGTCAATCAGAAGAACTAGTTATGATCTTATAATGAAAATGCTAAATTATATTCAATAATACCACTAAGTTAGTCATAAACTCAGTTTGTTATTAATTATAAATCAAATCATCATAAAATTAAAATAGTAATTTTAATGAATAAAAAATTTCTCTATTATAAATTGAATATTTTTCATAATTAAAAACTAAATGGCCTATCCAAATTATAGCTCTGTTGAAGTATGGTTTATAACCATGTCAAGCATACCAGAACTTTGACTATCTCAAGGGTTTTTCTCTCTCTGGTGAAATCATAATGGTGACACCTGTAAGACTCCATTCCATTGTTTTATGCATCTACACTTACTCTGACACTTACTTATTATGCTGTTTTGATTACTGTGGCTAATAAAATATTAAATATTAAAATATTAAATAAAAATAATAAAATATTAAAGAGTCTTTGAATAAAATCATGCTTTTTTGCTTCAACTTCTTATCTGGACTAAACCCATTTATACCGTTAAAGAAAACCATATTAGCACTACCAAAGGAAGAGAAACAACAACACCACAAATTTATATCACAAAGTTCACCAGCGTAAATGGCAATATTCTCTTCCCAAGGTAGTGTCATAATAACCATTTCTTGAATCCTGTAAATAAGTTTACATTTTGTCATTTCAGTTTTTCAAATGACAACCAACACCACATACACAGCAATTAACAACCAATTCTTTTCACAAATGTGATGGATCTAAATTCTTATATTCTTTATTTCTTCTTTTTTTTTTAGTTCCTCCTTCAGAGTCTCATATACCATGGCTGTGCTTATCTATATCTAATCTGATGTGCATTATTTGTTTCTAGTTTCAATTATGCATTCTTCTATCCATCTGAATTTAGTTATAGCTTCATTGCTTTCTTTTAACATTGTATTACTTATAAAACTAATAATGTTTTTATT